CTGTATGTTTTGTTTTGTTATTTTAATTTATCCTTCCTGAGGTTTGCTGAGTTTATTGATTTGTGTACTGATATTTCTCAACAAATTTGGGAAATCTTGGGCATTAGTTCTTCAGATATATTTTGTGTCCCAGTTTCTTTTTCTTCTACTTCTGGTATTTTAATTAAATACAATTAGTTTGCTTAATATTGTCAGTAAGACTCTACACATGGCTTTATTAATGTTTTCCTCTTTGTTTTCAGTTTGAATAGTTCCTATTGACATGTCCTTGAGTTCACTGATCTATTCTTTTGTATTGTCCAAACTTCTTGTAAGTTCATCAGGTGAAATTTAAATTTTAGATATTGTGTGTTTTTTTCAGGCTTAGAAGTTCCATCCGGTTCTCTTTTATAGTTTTTATTTCTCTGCTAAGATGTCCATCCGTTTACTCTTTTCTTCCCTTTGATGTTTTCAACATGTTGATAACAGTAGTTTTAAAATTCTTTTATAATAATTCTAGTAATAAAAACATCATAATTTGTCAACTCCTTTATCTCTTGTTTATGGGTCACATTTTCCTGCTTCTCATGTCTTCTGACTTTTTATTTTATGTTGGATGTGGTGGATGGCATATTGTAGGGAATCTGGATAATATTCTTATAATTCCTGTTGAATTTTAGTTTGGAATACAGTTAATTTATTGGCATTTACAGGTCCCCTTGATCTTGAAATTTCATTTTAAACTTTCTTAGAACAGGGCCTCCCCGGTGGCGCAGCGGTTGAGCGCTGGGTTGAGAAGCTGCCCCCAGCCTCTGCAGTGCCAGTTCGATCCCCGGCTACCGGCGAGGGTCCCACATGGTGCGCAGTGGGACCTGCCGCCCGCTGCTCCCCTCAGCAGTGTACTTCATCAGTCTGCCTCTTCTGCTGCCTGCTCTGGCTCTGGTGAATTCTCTCACCCTCCTGCACTCCTGACTATACCCAGTGCTTGTATAAATAAATAAATAAATCTTAAAAAAAACCCCACAACTTTGCTAGAATAGTTTTGCTTTGACTTTGTCCTTTGTTCTAGAGGACTGTCCTCGCCCTGGGGCCTGGCCCCTATTCCCATGACCTTGCTGGGGTTTCAGCTGAATGTCTGAGGTGCTTCGGGAAATATCTCCATTCTGCGGGGCCAGAACTCCCATTTTTTCCTGTCACTTCATGAAGTTGAGTATGTCCTTCTTGGTCTCTGTCTCTGTCTTCTACTCCATAACAGCTGCTCTTGGCTGAGCCTCACAGTCTCATTTTGAGTGTAACCCAGTCCCTGGTCAAGGCTGCAAGGGGAAACCACACACAGATTTCTGGGGCTATTCTCTGTGCAACTCTTTTCTCCCGGGGCTGTATTATGAAAACCCACCTGTCCCAGGAGCCCCAGGCCCCGACGTCTACCTCAGCGATCCAGCCAGACTGCCGCTCCCTGGCTCCTGCTCCGCTTCTATGTGCCACTGTCCAGAAAATGTTTGCAGGCAGCAACCAGGGTGAATGTATACATCCCTTCAAGTGTTTTTCTTCTCTCAAATGTTGTGGCGCTGTGCTGTAGTCCAAAACCTGAAAACATTTGCCTCATGTATTTCTTTCAGTTTTCAGGTCACTTGAAGTTATGTCACATCAAGTCCCAGGGGTGTCACAACTTCACCAACATTTGGTGTTATCAGTATTTTTGAAATGATAGATCACTGGGTATTTCGCATCAGAATACTTGCATTTCTTTGATGATTAATGCCTCCAAGCATCTTCTCCTGTGTGTATGGACCTTGTTTTAGTTTTTTCCTATTTAAAAAACTGAGTTTTTATTCTGGTTGATTTGTAGGAGTTCTTTTTATATCTAAAAAGGAATCTTTTTTTAGATACACATACTCCAGAAAGATTTTTCTGGCCTATGACTTGTCTATTGAGTTTTTTAATGACTTTGTTGGTTTTTCTCTGTTAGCTTTAACTTTTTCATTGATTTCTACTCTTTTTTTTAAGATTTATTTATTTACTTATTTATACATACAAGTACTGGGTACAGTCAGAAGTGCGGGAGGGTGAGAGAATTCACCAGAGCCAGAGCAGGGAGCAGAGCAGGCAGAAGGACCGAAGTACACTGCTGAGGGGAGCAGCGGGCGGCAGGAGAGGTCTGCGCGCCATGCGGGACCCTCCTCTGGTGGCCGGGGAGCAGCCGGGGATCGAACCGGTGCCGCAGAGGCTGCAGGCAGCTTTGCTACCCAGCGCTCAACCGCTGCGCCACCGGGGAGGCCCTCATTGATTTCTACTCTTATTTTTATTATTTTTCTTCTAATAACTTTGAGTTTAATTTCCCCTTTTACTAGATTGTGAAAAGCTTAGATCTAGAAATTCATACTATTGCCTGTCTACCTCTTTTTTAACAAAAGAATTTAAAACTGTAAATTTCCCTCTAAACAGAGCTTAACCTGCACTCAGAAAATTTTGATATGCTGTGTTTTCATTTTCATTTCATACAAAACATTTCAAAACTCTCCAGTAGTTTTTCTTCTGAGTTATAGCTTAAGTAGAAGTGTGTTGCTTTATTTCCACATATTTGGTATTTTCTTGAATTTCATATTGCTTTGGATTTTAATTTAATTTCATTAGGGTCAGAGTCATGTTCTAGTCAGTTTTATGTTCCAGTATCTGGTATATCTTGGTAACCACAGGCTTTACTCTTGAAAGGAATATATATTATATAGTTGTTGGGTATAATGTTCTACAACTATTAATTAGGTCAAATAAATTGATAGTGTTTTTCAATCTTTTTCATATCTTTATTTCTATCATTTATTGGAAGATGATGTTTAAATCTTCAACTGTTACTATGATTTCTCTCCTTTTTCCTTAGTTTTGAGTTTTTTTTCTGCTTCAATTATTTTAAAGCTGTTACCATGTTGTTTAACAGATTATTCTGTTTGCTTGATGAATTAATCCTAACATCACTAAATCACTAATCCTTTATATCACTAAAATGATCCTTATCCCTAATAGTTTTCTTTGTCTTGAAGTCTATATTTTTTATTATTAATATCGCCACACTAGGTCTCTTTACCCTTTGTCCAAATCTGTCTGTGTCTTTATATTAAAGGTATCCTTTCTATAAGTAGCATTTATTTGAGTCTTGCTTTTTTGTTTAGTCTAAAATGTGTGCCTCTTAATCGAGCATCTTATTTTTAACATCGATCCACGCTGCTGTGGGTACCTGTAATCCACTGCACAATTCTCTTTGATGTGCATCCCACATATTGTGCCCACCCATCCTGCTTGTGATGGGTCCCTAGGATGCCTCCAATTCCCCCCTTAACTCCATTTGCCACATCTGTGTACAGTTCCCCTTAGCTGGGTGAGATTCTATTTGTAATGTTTACCTGGAGCGGAATTGTTGGCATGCAAGGTTTGCATATACTTAACCTGACTAAGGATTGCCAGTATTGTCCATATGGGACTCGTCCAGGAAGGAGGGAAGAAAGTTGAGGGAAGAGGAGAATTGCCGCAGCCACACGCATGAGTAGGGGAGAGGGGCCCTGCCTAAATGGATGGATCTGCCTCACCAGGGACCAGATGGCTCATTCCCAGAAGAGGAGAGGAGGCGATGCAGGTAGATGGCAGGTGTGGTGATCGGAACTTGGGGAAATTCTTCTGTGGGTTCTTTTTTCTCAGTGAAGTGGGAAGCAACCTGATGGTAAGGATGAGGGAGGAGGGGCTGGAAGTTTAAAGAAAAGGAAGGTGTGAAATAGCTGCTGGAGACTGGGCATGTGTGTGGACCAGGTAACAGAGCCTGACTGCTGGCTGGTTCTCAGGGCACTCAAGGTCAGTGAGTGGGCAGTGCCTACGGGAGAGATCCAGGCACGAAGCAGCCCTAGCCCTGGGTTCAGCAGACTCGGGTTAGCAGTGCTCTGACAGAGCCCAACACCATGCTAGGCTCTGAGGGCACAGGGTGGGCAGGGCAGAGGGGTGCCTCACAGCTCACCCTACAGTGGGTGCCAGCAAACGGCTGTGCAGATCACCATGGACTCACCTTTCACAGGTGCACGGGGAGTTTAGGGAGGCAACAGTGCAACAGGCATTGTGCTTCCCATTTCAGTGGGAAGTTCTATAATTATGTGAGCATGCTGTTCAGCAAGGAGGAGGTATTCAGTGACAGTTCATCCATGGCTTTATTTTATATAGCAAGTCCTTTGAATAACATTGTTTTATTATAACATTGATGAGAAAAAAAATCCCATGACAATGAATGAACCTGTGTTATTCATGGACCAGGTTTCTCTATATTCCTAAAGTCTCAACTTGCAAGAACCTATCCACGACATTAAATGGGACTTACCATATTATAAAAGTGATGCTTGCCACCAAAAGAAATTAGGAGGACATAAAAGGAAAAATCATAAAAAAAGTCCAGGTCACCTGGAATCCCTCTTCCTCTCTCAGCTCCCAAAGTAGCCATGGTTAGTTAACATTTTGATGTGTTTTTAAAAGGTCCTGCCCTAGGGTCCCTGAGGTCTGACCTCCTATCCAAATGTGAGTAACACCCCACACCAAATACCACCAAGCAGAAGCACAAAGCAGTACTGGGCCAAAAGAGTGCCCTTCCTGTAAGTCATGAAAGGCTTCATGGAGGAGGTGGCCAGAAATCAGTCTTAAAGGTCCGGGGTCCGTTTAGCCTGCCTTGCTGTCTTTTCCCCTTCTGCCAGCCTTTCCTTGTTCAGTGTTTCTCTAGAACAAGCCCAGCCTCTACCCCTCTCCCACCGTGTGGCTGGCTGGGCACCCTCAACACGCTCAAGGTGAGGTGCATGGGGAGGGTCTGCTCTGTTTGAGGAGCAGGGAGGCCATGAGGCATGGCTCAGAAGTGTGCTGTCTCCACCGCTGTGCGGTATGCAGCCTGAGTGGCCACACATGGTCCCTCCAACCCCTCATGCCCTGGTGTCCACACTGGAGCTAGATGGATTGGCGGGGCACGTGTCCCACCCTCTCGGGTCTGTGTCCCCCTCCAGACAGCAGCGACAGTGAGCTGGAGCTGTCCACAGTACGTCACCAACCGGAGGGGCTGGACCAACTGCAGGCACAGACCAAATTCACCAAAAAGGAGCTGCAGTCCCTCTACAGGGGCTTCAAGAACGTGAGTGCTCCCTGTTCTCTTGGGAGGGACCCTGACTGCCCCTCCCATCCAGGGCTCCAGGGAAGAGGGAGACCTGGAAACTTCTCCATGGCATCAGGGGGCCTTGATGGGGCTCATATTTTGTGGGACAGCTGGGGTGGGGGGTGCTGAGGGCCACATCCCAGAATCAGTATTCTGAAGCCCCCATGTCCCTGTCTGTGTCTTGATGCTGGTACAGGGAAGTGTGTGCGAAGGCTCCAACTTGCCATAAAGGGACTGGCCTCTTTTCTCCCACCTACCCCATCCCCGCTTCCCTGCCCACCTCCAGGCTTTGCCCAGCAGAGGAGTGAGAGAGATGGGGTGGGCCTAGAGGGAGGGAAGAGACCAAGCCCTACAGAGTCGGGGTGTGGGCCAGGTGGCAGAACACACCAGTGTGTGCTGAGAGGGGTGACTTCTGCTTCAGGAGTGTCCCACAGGCCTGGTGGATGAAGACACCTTCAAACTCATTTACTCACAGTTCTTCCCTCAGGGAGGTGAGTCCACGGCCCCCTGACTCCTTCTAAAGCCCCCATTCATTCCTGTGGCAGCTCTGCAGAGGGTGGGTGTCCCTTTAACTGGGAGGGTCCCCTCACCTGCACCCCTACCCTCCCAACCACTCCTTGCCTTCTGGAGACCTGTTACTGCCTCTGTCCTGTTGGAAAGAGAAAGTCCAGCCAGAATGCAGCTGATACCTGGGTGGGGCTGCTTGGGGATTCCAAGAACCCCAAAAACCACCACCCTCACCCTTGCTATCCCCAGATGCCACCACCTACGCCCACTTCCTCTTCAATGCCTTCGACGCTGATGGGAATGGGGCCATCCACTTTGAGGTAGGTCCCTGGTGACCTGTTCTGTCCTCTGCCCTGCAGCTTGCATGGTAGGGTGGAGGGATTTGGGGGTTTTCCTGCCCTGGTGCACCTTCGTCGTCATCGTGGTGCTATCCAGAGACTCAGACATGATTCTGATTGTAAACGGCCCAGCATGTCCCTGGGGGAGTGAATGGACTGTGCTTGGCTGGCCCTGGGCCTGACTGTGAAGTCAGGGAAATTTAATTTCGCTGTCTGGCTGCCCTATTCTCGGCCTTTTCTTCTGTTCCAACCCCACCAAGTCAGGGAAGCTACTCAAGCCCACCAAGGTGGTAGGGACCCAGTGTGAATTTATCTTTGAGAAGGAGGCAAGGTCTAGCACAGAGGTCTGTATTGCTGGCGGGGTCCAGGCACCCAGGCCCAGAATGTCCTGCCCTGCCAGAACACAGGGGCAGTGCCCCAGCCTGAGTGGGTTCCAGGGGTGCCCTAGCTGGACGTTGTCAGTGCAGCCTGGTTGTTGGCCCCTGTCAGGAAAGAGAAGCTGCTCCCCTCCCCAGATGCCTGCCCGCCTCTTCCTTGCCTGGCCTCTGTGCAGGCTGTGCTGTGGGCTCCACCCCGGCCTGGCCACAGGGGATCATTTGATAGAGGCCCCATCTGTGGAGCCCAGGCCCCTAAAAATAGCTGCAGGCGAAAAGCTGAAACCTCTTCGTAGAGGAAAACCTTGCTGAGAGCCGGGCTTGATCGATAACCACCCCCGTGCGGCTTCCAGGGCCAAGGGCACTGACAGGAAAGCGGCAGCACTAGCCAGCCCCTCAGAGAGCCCCCAGACCGGCCGGGTGTAATAATAATTCATCGTAATGTTGCTCCGTTTATTTTTATGCTGCCGCCCAGCCTGGCCCACTGACACACAGACCGGGGGGGGCGGGGGACCCCGCTTTGCTGGCGACCATCAGGCCCCCCCTCTCCAGCCCACATCCGAGAGCCAGCGCGCGTGTGAACTGCGGTGTTTTCACCTTTATTGTCAGTGATCCCTGCAGACATCAAAAGTTCAGTCAGTACAGGGAGTGACCACGGAAAATTCCTTGTCCCTGGCCTCCCCCTTGTGACCATTTTCTTGTGTGTCCTTTAAGCGGCACCTGAGGCTTCTGGGAATCAGGTGTGAGGAGGAACTAGTGTGATGGAGCCAGCCAGGGCTTTGCCAGCTGGTTTTTCTTGATCAGAAATCAGGTGATTTCTTAGCAGGACCCTTGCTTGTGGCAAGTGTCCAGAAGGTCACTGCCTGTGGTCATCTCTCTCCTATAAGGGAGGGCTCTTGTGGTCCCAGTAAGATGGCAGTCCTAGTGGAGGTGCATCAGGGCTGAGTTGGGGTGCTGGTACTGAGCCCCTCTGCTAGGCACCTTCTTAGGACCTGTGTTCTTCTGGGGTTATCTGGGTGCTCTCAGAATGCGGAATTCATTCTTTTGCTTCTGTACAGGGTGTTTGTTTACTTTGAGGATCTTCTGGATTCTGTGCTCTCTCTAGGAAGGCTTTATCAGGAAGGGGCAGGTACATCTCTCCCCAGGGCCTTCCATCCAGCAGGGCCTGATCCTGGGTTGGGATCCCTGCAGTCAGGAAGGGACACTCGGCCCTGCTCACTTCTTCAGACTGCACCTTTCAATGTACCTTAAAACAAGAGTCAGATTGGTTACAATGATCCCAGTCCTTTTTGTATGTTCTTGAGATACAAGACTCAAGCAACCAGGATGAAGTCAGACGGCCCAGTCGAGTTGCAGGTGGTGTTGGCCCAGCTTGCCAGGGGTTTATCTGGAGGAGGGTGAGGCTGCCTCTCCCATCACACCCTCCACTCTCCCCTGCTGATTCAGCTCAGGCTCTGCTCTACTGGGCTTCCCCATGTGCACTCTGGGATGTCTCAGCCTGGAAACCAAGGCTTCCCTGTGTTGCTGTATCACTGAGGAGCCCCCTCCCTCCCTGGGCCCCGCCTCAGGGGTAGCCAAAGAGCAGGGGCTGTGGATGTGATGGGCTTTGTCCATGCAGGAGGAGTTAAGAGCAAGCAGTTACAACAACTACCCATGCTCTCCTGGAACTCTGCTCTCTGGGGTCACACCCGGGCTGGTTGGACATCTGTGTGCTCTTGAGAACACAGTGGCCTTGAAGTGGACATTCCCACCCACCTTTCACCTAGTAACACCAGAACTACAGTGCATGCCCCTGGGGGACACGGGAAGGGGACATCCCTCAGCTATGGCTGAGCATGACAGCTTCTATACTAGATGGGGGGACATTGGTGCTGTGCCCTCCCCTGGCGCACGCCGGCAGGCAGCATGTGCAGGACTTCCAGTTCCTGTTGCCCAGAGCAGAACTGTTTCCCTTTGCCCCACACTGTGCAAGCCAGTCGGCCCCCAGGGGAGAGGGAGTGACATGAATCAGGGATGCTTTGACACTTCGCCGCTTTCATGACTCAGGCACACACTTCAGTGATTATCAGTTCACAAGCTCAGGCATTTCTCCTTTCGTGTATTTTCGTTTTCTTCACTATGCACACATGGAATTGAAGGAGTGCAGTAGATTTACAGGGTGTGCTTTGGAAAAACAGCAGTTAGCCACCCCACACTTGTGGAGGTCACCACCTTCTTTTCGTTCAGCCGCTTGGCATGATTTGTTCCTGTGTCTCCCAATGCCAAGCTTCTTTTGCCCCTTTCTGAATGTCCAGTTTTAGAGACTCCCTGCTGGGGGATGCTGGGTCTCCTATGCATACACACCTTGCCCATGTCTCTGCTTCTGACAGACCTATAGGATTCGGATGGGCAGGGACTCTCAGTTTACCCATCATGCAAATTTGATTCTCTGCCGAGCCTTGCAGTAAACTCTGACTGTGCTTTCCATTCCTGCATTTGTTTGTATTTTGCCTACAGCTAACAGTTGTTTGAGTTTTCATTTGCCAGATATCTGTGATTTCATCATCAGTTCAACCACAGACCTTCACCCCAGTCATTGAATGGACGTTTCCCTTCCACTGACTCCATCGCCCATCAGGACGGACTGTCCACTGGGGACCTCATCCCCTCCCTCCTGGGTTGGCTCTCCTGGCTCTAGGATTCCTCCTCTTCCTCTCTCTTGCTTTACTCTCTCTTTTCAGACGCACATCTTCTAGTAGCTTCCTACCAAAGAGTACATGGGAGGTAACATTCGAGCCTGCGGGTGTCTTTATTCTGCCCTCACTCTTGCTGGACATACTGCAAATGAACAGAGCTATGCTAGGAAGTTGTTCTCCTTCCAAATGGTGGCAATTGCCCCACTGACCTCTTGTCTTCAGTGTTGCTGGCAAAAGGGAAAGTCTGATGATTCCTGACCCTGTGTGGCACCCGATTTGGTTTGTTCTGTTTGGTTTTGTTCTTCTGTCAGGAAGCTTGTAGATTCCTCTCTTTGCATCCCATTTTTGGAAATGTCATCATAATATCTACCAGCTAGCTACAAACACTTGAGGCTGTGCCCTCATATTGTGCTAGGCTCAGCAGACCTGAACGCCAGCCTTCCATTCTGGAAATTCTTTCATTGCTTCTTTGACATGCTTTTCTCCATCTCCTTTGATTCTTCCTGAAACATCTGCTGTTCGTGTGTTGGTCCCTCTGGAGTAGGTCTCTCATTGTCTTCTTGTCTCTATTTTCCGGCTCTTTGCCTTTCTGCTTCTTTCCAGAAGATTCTACTTGCTCTTCCAACCCTACTTCTGGGTCTGTCATTTTGCTTTCTTATTGTTAATTCCCCACAGTGCTTTCTTGTTCTCAATTGTTCCTTTTTTATACCATCTTATTCTTATTTTAGGAATGCAGGATTTCTAATCTCTGATCTAACACTTTAAGGGTTGTTTGTTTTTTTTTTTCTGGAATGATTTGTGTTTCTTCCAAATTGTTTTTCTCTGTTCCTTTTAGACATCTCTCAGATCCATAAAATCTAAAATTTGAGCAGGGGCTGAGCCCCTTGGTACAGACACTGCAGTCTGCTGCCCTCCACCCCGACTCCTCCAGGGTAGGGGGTGGCGGTGGCCATGAGGCAGGAGGGGCTTGTCCTGCCAACCTTCTGGGAAGTGGGGCAACACCTGCTTGCCACCAGTGGTTATGACAAAACAGGTGAAGTTCCCACACGCAGGCCAGGTGATCATTACTAACTTACCACATTAGTAAGAAGTTACCCATCACACCTCAGCGGTGATTGCAACACATACGAATGTCATGGACCCAGAGCTGAGCATTTGTAGCTTAGCTTTTTAGATAGAAGTTTTCAAACACCTTGACATGCAGCTACCTGGTAACCTGAATGTAGAGCACCACCCCCTTCTTACAGAGCACCCCAGGTCTTCTCTACTAATTGCAACAGGTCTAAGACACCACAGATTTGAATGTCATTATTTGAGAGGATCACTACCAGTAACCATGCCATCCCCGTCCCCAGCACGAGCACACACACACACACACACATGCACGCACACACACATGCACACACACGCTCACACCAAGTCCACCTAATGGACACTACCTGCCCGCTCTGTAATGGAGGCCCCTCATCAGGAGAGCTGAGTTTCAGTGGAAGCCACACTGCAAACTGGAAATAGAAGCTGGGCATTGAATTGCCACTCCTTATCCTTCTTCCTCATAGGACTTTGTGGTTGGCCTCTCTATCCTCCTGCGGGGAACAGTCCACGAGAAGCTTAAGTGGGCCTTTAACCTCTACGACATTAACAAGGATGGTTACATCACCAAAGAGGTAGGGTTGGCTGGGGGCAAGGTGGGGTGGCCTGTCTGCCCTCATCCTGCTGCTTCACACCCCTAACTTCTCTTCCTCTCCTCCTCTCCTCACATTCAGGGATGTGGCAGTCAGCCTGGCCCTGGGGGAGCAGCCAACCTCCTCTCTGGGACTCGGTCCTAGACACCTGGGTGTGGGAATCATGGGACTTGTGCCCTCACCACACGCCTCCATCTTGTTTAAGTGTCCTGGGGTCATCCTATCTAACAGGAGGGCTTCAGGAGGCACAAGTGGAAAAGCCCAGGACTGGGGCTGGTCTCAGCTCCCACAAGTGGAGGGGGTAGTAAGGTCCTTTAGGACAGGGCACAAGGTGGGGTCCTGACCCACAGTCAGGTGTGTGTGTGTGTTTTTTAAGATTTATTTATTTATTTTTATTTATACTAGAGCTGGGGTACAGGCCAGATGTGTGGGAGGGTGAGAGGATTCACCAGAGACAGAGCAGGGAACAGAACAGGCAGACAGACCGAAAGCACTGCTGAGGGGAGCAGTGGGTGAGATAAGAGAGGTCTACCGCGCCATATGGGAATCTCCCTGGTCAGCTGGGAATCGAACCGGTGCTGCACTCAATCCACTGTGCCACCGGGGAGGCCCTACAATCAGGTTTTGTTTGACCTAAACATTTTTTTTATATATGAAGTAATTGTTATGGTTTCAGCCTTTGGAGATCACACATTAAAATCTATCTCCAACTTCTCTTGGGGTCAAGCTCTTGTAGGGCTTACCTGAGGGGGCAAGTCTACTCTCTAGCTTGCTGGCCCCTCCCACTGACTCACCACGACCCTGGAGGTGGGGCTGCCCTCTTTCCATTGACTCAGCTCCCTCCCCTCAGGCCCTGGCACCCCCACACATCCTTGCAGCTCATGCCAGCCCCTCTGCCCCTCCAGGAGATGCTGGCCATCATGAAGTCTATCTACGACATGATGGGCCGCCACACCTACCCCATCCTGCGGGAGGACGCACCTCTGGAGCATGTGGAGAGGTTCTTCCAGGTGAGCACTCTGGCCAGACAGGGGAGGACGGGCAGCTGGAAGAGGGAGGGGCTTCTGCTCTTAGGGCAACCCAGGGCAAGCCACAGCCCCCTCTGAGTTCCCTTCATGAGGAGGTTAATCTTGCATCCTCCACCTGGCTGCTTGTCAGGGTACCGAGCACCAAATTAAAAGAGCATCCCTATTCTCTGATCCACGAAGCTAATCTTAGGCAAGCAGGATCATGGATTCCAAGACCGCTGACACCCCGGGCCAGTGTTCTGGTGCCTTCTAAGAGCTCCTCTGTCTCCTACAGGGACACTGTGTGAGAGAAATGGGGTTGGGTGACTGCTTTGTGGCCAGCTTGCTCCATCTGCCTAGGTTGCTCCATCTGCCCTGGCTGTGTGTCAAGGAGTTAAGGGGGTCACTGAGCATGGGTGTGCGTCCTGGAGATGTAAGCCCAGGAGGTCATCAGGGAAGCCGCTGGGGGTAGGGGCAGACTAGGAAGAGGCCCGAAAGGTCAGCTGTGGGTAAGAGGTGGCTGGGGAGGTACTTTATGTGGCCTGATCCAAGTAGGAGACAGAGGGGACAGGTCAGGGTGAAGGAAACCCACCCACCCACTGCCATCATCTCAGGCCTGGATAGGGGCATTCCCTGCTGAGAGACTCACTGAGGATGTTGCTTGGATTACAGAAAATGGACCGAAATCAGGACGGGGTGGTGACCATTGACGAGTTCCTGGAGACCTGTCAGAAGGTAGGCGACATTGGGAGTCGAAAACACCCAGTGTCCCGCACCTGGCAGTCCCCGGCCCCTCCCCAACTGCTCCAACCCACAGCCCACATGGGACCTCATCCCTCAGCCTTGCCTTTGCAATGCCTTGCATCGCAGGGGGACGTGGGGCCAGGGGTGGCTGATTAGGACCTGTGCCCTCAAGACAAGTCATTCCTCAGCACTGGTGCTGACCCTCCTCCACAGAGCAGGGGACAAGACACCAGGCCTCGACCAGCCTCAGCACCCCATCTCTTCCAGAGCTGCCTCTTGTTGCCCCAGCCTCCACTGGGAGGTTCATCCGTCAGTGAGTTGGCAGGCCCCAGACAGGCATATAGTCAAACTGTGGGCTGAGAAGGCTGTGCCCCATCCACCCGCGAGACAGAGTTGCCACTGCAGGGTTCCATGTCCCCACTGAGAATCTGCTCAAGGGGGGGTTGGATTGGACACTGCCCCACTGGCCCACCCAGGGCCTGACCAAGCCTCTGGTCCTTCTCTCCATGCAGGATGAGAACATCATGAGCTCCATGCAGCTGTTCGAGAATGTCATCTAGGACATGTGGGGCATCTCTAAGTGGCATTGCGGCCTCTGCCCCCAAAGAAACCTCAGTCCTGCCGGGAGTAGCCTCCATGAGAGACTTTTTTCTAATATATTTGCAAAAAGTGAACAGTTTGCTCCAGACACGCGTGTGCACATGTACGCGTGTATACACACACACACGCACACACACACACACACACACCATTCCTCTGGGCTGGCAGAGGAGGAGCAGAGGTCCGGGAGGGACTGAGTGTGGCTGGGAGCTGAGTCCGGGGGAGAAGAACCACGTACCCTCAGCCAGTCGCCCTCCCAGGCCAGCAGGGCAAGGCTGCCTCTAGGGTGGGGAGCTGAGAGTGGGGTGTCTGCAGGCCCATGGCTGGGGTGTTAGCAACAAAGTGTCAAGCTCCCCCTTCAAGGAGAGTCCAGTCTCCAAAGCAAAGGCTCCGCTTGAGAGCCCACCTGCCCCTCCCTTCTGCCACCCCTTTCCCATCACATCTGAACCAGGTTCTAGGGGCCTCTCTGGCCACCTTGCTCCTCCCCACTCCGTCACTCCCTACCCGCCGACTACACTCCCAGAATGATGCTGGAGGGGCAGCTGGGGGTCAAGGGAGTTTGGACTAGGAAAGAGGTGCTGCTTCCTGGAATTGTTTTCCTGGGGCCCAGGACGCCTGCCATGCCAGTGGTTTGGGGCCTCTGGGCTCCATTCCCCTCCAGCCCAGGAAAGGGGCCTCTCAAGTTTAGGGATTGGGTTTCTTGGGGGGAGGGATGCTATCTATGTACCCACTCCACTGGATGGGAGAAGCTGTGGCTTGCCCCAGTCTCTGGTTCAGCGGGGATGCAGTGGGTGGGGGTATACCCCTCAAGCGTTAGACTGCTCCTCCCCCCAACCAAGGCCATCCTAAGGAAAGGTCAAGGCTGGTTCAGGGACTGGCTGCCATGGAGGACAGGTGGTGTAGACCTGGGAAGGGACTTTCCCATCCCTCTTTCCCTCTGCCCTTGCTTCCCTTGGCCCAGCAGTTTCACTGAGCCTCCCTTTCCAAAACAGTGTGGGCCCCCCGACATGGGCTCACCCCAACTCCAGACTAAAAGCACAAGGTCAGAATGCAACTCATGAGGGGAGCCAAGGAACACTGCTGTTTTGAGACAAGACCATCTTGGTAGCTTGAGGCCTGGGTCTCAGGAGCCCCTGTATGGTCAGCCCCTAGAAAGAATTGGGGGGGGGGTCAGTTCTGTGCCTCAGAGCATTCGGGGCTTGAAGCCCAGCCCCAGTCCAGCCCAGCTCACCAACATTCAAAAGCACAAACCCCGGGGCTTGGATGGGTTCTGCTCTGGGGATAGAGGCCCATGTCAGCCTGCAGCCAGGAGCCAACAGTGAGGGCTGAGGGGCCCAGGGTCAACATAGGCCTCTGGGAGAGTCAGAAATGCTGCTCCCTCTGCCCAGGCCTCCCCAAGAGGGAACTCAGTCCCAGGCAGCACAGGCCCTTCTGAGGAACATTCTCACATGATACATTCCATCGGCTGCCACCTGTCTCTGCCCAGGCCCAGCCCAGGGTGAGCAGGGCCCTCGTGGAAAGGCAGGATTGTGGAGGCCGTGGAGATTGGCCTGACTAAGTCATGGGCACATTTTGCACTCACACAGGTGGTCCTCCCCATTGGAGTTGCACTGACACCCCATCTCCAGTCTGACTTGGGGTCCCTCTCCCCTCTTTCAGGAGGGCATCAGCTTTCCCTGGCTCAGGGATCTTCTCCCCCACTTCCCAGGCCAGCCCTCCCAGCTGGTGTAGCTCTGCTTCTAAGGGGCCAAGGGCCAAGGCCCTAATAGGGAGATTCACCACCATGTCCCTGCCCGCCTTGTCCGCAGGCCAGAACGACTGTTCACCCAACCAGGAAGGCCCCATCTCTCACCCTGGGACGGACTGGCCGCATGTCTGCATGGCAGAAGCGTCCCCCTTGGGGCTGGCCTGGGAGGGTAGTTCCTGTTCTCAGCACCTACTGGTATTCAGTCCTATATATTTTAATAAAATAAAGTTGACAAAGAAGAGGGATTCTTGGTGCTTTGTCCCCACTGAATTTTGGTCCAGGCCCTCCCACCCCTGCTACTGTAGTCATGGCTCCTGCCCAGCACTGTCCTGGTAACTAGTAAGCATTCCCCTCATTGCAGCATTTGCCAATTTCCACGCTGGATTTCATGCTTCCAATGCGATGTCACCAAAGGGAGAGTGGGGAATAGATCCCACAATTGGGCAGCCTTTCCAAGAAGCTCTAGTCCCGTAGGCTGTATGCAGAGTTGGGGAGCAGGGTAACTCCTTGAGGTGCCATTTGTATTTCATTTCCAGGTCATATTTCTTGCCAGTTCCAGGAAGACATTTCTGTATGTCCCCTCCGTTGAAAGGTGCAGGTCACAGGGAAGCAGCAGAATTTACTTAAAGACATCTTCCTTTTCTAGTTTTGTTTTCAAAAGTATAAATTTTGTGAGGGTTATGTTAGGGGAGAGACCAGAAAAAAGGAACTCTATTGCACTGCTGGTGGGAATGTAGACTGTTTCAACCCCTATGGAAAACAGTATGGAGGTTTCTCAAAATATTAAAAAATGGATCTTTTGTGTGACCCAGCAATTCCATCCCTAGGTATCTATCCAAAGAATACAAAGACATTGTCATGTTCATAACAGTGCTATTTACCATAGTTAAGATATGGAAACATCCTAAATGACCAAAAATGGAGAAGAAGATGAAGATGTGGTATTTTTACACAATGGAATACTACTCTGCAATCAAAAAGACAAACTCACACCATTCAAGGCAACATGGATGGAGCTGGAAAGAATTATAATTGAAGTAAGTCAGAAGAAGAGAGACAAATTATGGATGGTGTCACTTATAAGTAAAATGTAGAGAAACTAAACAAAGGGTCAGATAAAACCAAACTTAAAAACTAACCCTTGAAAGCTGATTCTAGAACTTGGGGATCTAGAAAAGGAGGGGAGAGGAAGGAGTGAGAACAAAGCAAGGAGGAATTACAGTGGAATAAGGTGGTAGACTATGGGTGCTTTGGTGGAGGGTGCACGACGGGTATGACAACACATGGAAAGGGGGATCCTCCACTACCAAAATACTAACGATGATGTAAACCAACATTACCTCAATTTAAAAAAAAAGTAAGCTTTTAAAACTCAGTCATGGATAGGAGGAGTAAGAAAAATTATAAACAAAGATGTAAGAATCAGAAGGTTAATAAACTTATTTTAACAATTAAAACAATTAAAAATCTGAAATAAAACACAGAAAATATTTTCTTAGAAACATCTTTGAAGTGGCAAAAAGGTAAAGCATTCTTGGACCAGAAACTGACTGGAGGTTTCAGAGGTAAGCAGAGCCCTAAAAGGATTTCCTGGAACAGGTGAGTTTCTGACTGACTGACTTTTGTTTCAAATCCTTCCAAGCCCAAAGTATATGTCATAGAGCCCAGAACCCACCCTGGAGAGGAGTCTGTTAGAAAATCCTTCCTCCAGAAAACTGGGACCTCAAAGAGTTACACAGAGTACAAGCAAGCCCACCCACCCCTCCAGTTTCTCCTCACCCAGCAAACTGCAAGCAAAGTTGACCTTCTGAAGTCCTGGCCTAAAACAGTGGAAAAATTCACCAGAACAATAAGCTGGACCTTATGTGAGTTCAAAACCCCAAATCACATGGAAAACATACTTGGAAATTTAATTGGTAGTGACCCACTGTAAAGTCATAAGAAAATTAGCAGATTTCAATAAGAAAATGACCAAATAACACACCATAAGTGAGATTTAGCAGGAACACTACAAAACCAGATTCACAGGACTTCCAATAATGAAACTAAAAGATACAGTTATAACATGACTATATTTAATGTGTTTAGAGCCATGAACGCAGAAATGTGGGGTAGAAGGGAGTAGGGGCTGTCCATCCTGGGGGGTGAAGTGGGAGTTGAGAGAAGCTTCTCATCTAAATCACCTCCCCCCTCTTCCCTGCCCTGAGAGCAGAGAGATGCTGTGTCCTTATACAGGCCCCTAAGTTCCCAGTGCTCTGCCTCCAAGGGTCTGTGATATCTAGGACATAGTTCTGTTCTGGAACTTTGTTTCATATTAAGGATGTTAATTTGCCTGGCTGAACCTGTTTCCTTATCTGTGAAATAAGCAGAAAAACAATCTTTTGACAGGATTGTTACAATGACTAATTATGAATATTTACTGGCCTCTTAATAAATAGGATCATCCTTCCTATTCCACTTAAGAGTTTTTTCCCTTTCTATAGAAGAGTGACTTAGACCAACAAGCCACCAGAGAAAAGAGTTTCCAGTATTGGAAATAAATCTTGGGTGGTGCCCCGTTTCTCAGGGAAACCCCAAGGCCCATTTGGGGGTCACTGATTAAAGAGGAGCAGTCTGTGCTGGCCAGGCCACAGCAGGCTGCCTGTCATCTACACATCCAGCCCTCCTGCCACCACTGACTGCTGCGAGGCTGCTCCGACCTGCCCCTGGCAGGAGAGGGAACCCAGACCTATCTGTGTGCCCAGTGTGTGTCATTCATTCAGAACCACCTGTGGAGAGGCCCTGGTTACCTTAATAGCACCAACTGGGAAACGTAAGGCCCAGAATATTGTGCTCTACTGCACATCTTTCCAGACACTTTACTGGTACTCCTAGGTGCGTCTTTCCAGGCACTTTGCCAGGTGTGATCTAGAAGCTCCACAGCTCCTCTTTTCTTCCTCCACGTGATGTTTTGCCGCAAATGCTGTTTGCCTGCGGTTCCAAGAGCTGTGCTTCCCTCTGGCCGCCAGGGGGCGACCGCTCCACACATCGGCTCCGAGCAGATTTCCTGCCCTCAGGTCCCAGGGAAGCTATTGCCTTTTATAGATCCCAAATCACTTTCATATTCTTTCCTCGTTCTCCACGTGGTTTTTCCACTAGAAAACTGAAGCAATCAAGTAACCATTCCACAAGTGCGCCCACAGAATACTAGCCTGGGTACAGGGTGAGACATAGGGCAAGTTAGGGTAATTAGGCAGTTTTAGGGACAGTGCAGGAAGGGACCTCTGAAGAGTTTAGGAAGGCTTCAGAGATAAGGACAACAAGAGGAATGTAACTAATTCCACTGGGAAAAACAAATATCCCAGGACCAAGGACAACATTGTTAACGCTGGCCTTGGTTTCCCTCAGGTGATAAAGGGAGGTGGAGTTTGGGGAAAAGGAGAGTGGTTTAATTTATGGACAAATTGGGAGGGCAGCAGACTCGTGTCTGGTAGATCACCGTCCTCCCCTTTGTCAGAGTGCAGGATATTTATGCAGGGGGGAGATGAGAAGGGGTCAGCACCAGTGGGCGCCAGCCTGTTTTTCTTCAATAGCTGATGTTTAACTTTCTCTCCCTAAAATGCAGGGGTGCTCATCTGGGAGACTGGGCCATAAAGATAAATCTATCAAACAAGGGGGAAGGTGCAACAAATGGGGAAAGACAAGCCTGTTAGATAAGGAATGTGAAGATCTCCCGCTCAGTAGCAGATTAAGTGAGACAGCCGAGAACTAACCAATCACAGAGACTGGTGGAGCTTTAGAATAATGAGGGAAAGAAGGTCTGTATTCCCTGAGACACGACTCCACTTTGGCTTCCTTGCCCCTTCCTAACCTGGTTTCATGGCCTGGGAGTCCCGCTTTATTTCTGTTCCTTTTCTCCTCAATAAACTTTTTCTTTTTCTAAACAAACCTGCCTCTCCTCGCTTGCTTGCCTAAGAGTCTAAGTTCCTGCTGCGGCTTTGTGAGGCACCAACTCCTGGTGGTCTGGTGGCTGGGACTCAGCGCTGCCCCTGCAGCCTGCGATCCGTTCCTGGCTGGGAGACTAGGCCTGACAATTCCGGTATCAGGGGGACAGGGGATTCCATGACAAAGTGTCCTCCCGTTTTATCACCTAGACATCCATATCTACTCATGCAAAACTGCCCCCACACTGACATGACTGAATTCCAGTGCAAAGCGAATCAAATTAATGTTTGCTTTCCCCGGTCTAGCCTTCGAGAACTCCTCTTCCATTAGCGTCTGGAAGGTCAGAAAGGAGACAATGGTCTGCCACAGGAACAGCTGGGCTCTCAGGAGACCCGGTGAGAAGCAGGTGTGTGTTCAGAGGATTTCAAATAGCTGCCAGTAATTCTCACGCAACCAACTTTAACACATCACGTCCCAATACACACCTTTGGGACTGAGATGCTTTTGCAATCTCTCGGGGGTCTCCTGTCCCTGCTCGGTGGCCTACAGCCCTCAAGGACATCCACGTTGTCTTCTCCTTCACTGCTGCCTCAGACATGCCGGAGGCCACAGCGCTGTGTGACTGATGTGAGCACATCTGCCTGGGGGGCCTGTCCTGCCACCTCCTCCTGGCTGGGCTCCGCCTCCTCTCCGGGCCCCGCCTCCCACCAGGTGAGCGCTGCAGTCTTCCCGCACTTCTTCCAAGTTCCAGGTCTACACCAAAGAAGCCGTCATTCTGCATTTACTGCATACCTTGCACAGACATAGACTGCGTGATGAGGAGACAATAGCAAATAAGCTACAGTCTCCGCCTTCGGAAACTTGTGGGGACACCAGAAAGCAAAGACAAAAGCCCTAGGCAGCGATTCAGGCCATGAGGGAAGTGACCATGGGGTACAGGCTGTGCGGGGACCAAGCCGGGCAGGAAGGATGGTCAGAGGACTTGGACTTCTCACAGAACTGTGGATAAAACGAGGGAACAGGCTCCTGTCTGCCCTGCCTTCCCTCATGGACACATCCAGACAGGAGCTCTGCTGTGGAGTCAGTGAGGCTTTGAGACCCAGGTGAGGCCCTCCCTCAGCCAGGTGCTGTTGTCTGGACGTGGTTCCTTGTTCTTTTCATTACCCCCATAAGCCATCTCCAGTCTGGGCCCCTCCTAGCCCTCTCACTCCTCCCACATGCCCTGACCCGCTGCGTTGCAGGAGTACCCGCAGCCATGGATAATCACATAGAGTTTGAATTAACTGGTTGGAAGGGGTGTGCAGACTAGCTGCCTGCAGAGTGACTCTGTGAGTTCAGAGATTAGAGGCTGAACTATCAGCGGGACCCAGTCTGCACAAGGACAGCAGAACCAGCATGGCCAGGAGTAGCCCTGTGCCTGAGTAGGGCTGAGATGAGGGAATCTAGAAGCCTCCACCCACCACACCCACCCCTCTGCCTGCTGGTGGGGGAACTGCATACATCTTGAAGGGGAAGATATGAGGTCTGTTAGCCCTTGACCAGAGCTGAATGGTCCTGGAAGGGATTCTAGCTCCTTCTAAGTAGGCACCTGAGTGCAGCCCTCTCGGGTGGCGGTGGTACCCACAAACTGCCCTGACAGCTATTAGACTACTGGGGCCATCAGTCTTAATACTGGGTTCCCTGTGAATTTTCAACTGCT